GATTTTAAGTTACTTTAAATTCTTTTGATTATCTTAAAAAAAATAAAACTTTATTAGGTATTTTTAGAAAAGGCACACTATTCGTAATACTATACTCATCAGAGCCGTGGTAGCTCAGGGGATAAAGCGTTCCCCTTCCAACGAGGTGAACTGCATCCGAATCCTAGCATAAGCTGGCCGATACGAACTCAGCAGGGCTCGAAAAAACTCAGAAAATTTTACCCGTCCCCGAGGACGGCTTCTTGTCCAACAATGTACCCGTCCTCCTTTGAAACTAACTCGTCGCTTCTAAATAAATAAAAAATATAATTTTCTCTTATTTATTACAAACATTTATATAAATTGCACAATGAATTAATAGTTACTGGGATTACATTATACAGTAATAAAAGAAATACTAGGTTACTAATATTAACCTAGTATTTCGTTTATGAAATAATTTAAATGACAAAGATCAAGTTATCTGGAATGTCAATTTATCCGAGGGTACTGCGTTATTTAAATGAATCAAATATGACGTTTGCCAGTTTCACAAACAAGCCAGTGATTTACAGAGGTTTCTGCACAGAAATCTGAAACGGTTTTCCATTAGGTAGATTTTTATAATTGCGTTTAACGCTTCTTGTTTATCAATTCCACCATGTGCAGTATGTTGTTGTATTGTCGGTCATTTTGCTGCATTAGGTCTTTATAAATAGCTTGGGTTCGGAGGGCTGAAGTTTTCTGGTATTTAACGGTGTTATGTATCTTAAGTTTTAATGACACCCATTCTTGAGAAAAATTTTCTTTATCTACTCCTTCAAAAAAGATTGTAAGATAACAAAAAATGAAAATGTATCACGAACATTAACAGGGAAAATGGCCGTCCACGCGAACGTCGGATTCGAGAAATTTGTTGTCCACTGGGAATTTTTGACTGCCGAGGACGGGCGGGTGGTTTTTCGAGCCCTGGAACTCAGCACAGACCACAGTGTTGACGTAAAATATCCTCAGTGGTAGACGGATCATGGGTTAGTTCAATACCTCCTAGAAAAGAGAAGGCCTTAGAACGGGTTACCATGAGCAAGAAATTTGATCCTTTTGTAGTCTAAACGTAATGACATATTTCGATTTTCCACCACTGCGCAACTTAGTAGCCCGAATGTAGTGACATCTTTCTTCTTTTTCATCTACTGCGCAGTTAACTTCATTAGATCGGACTACTAAATTGATCCGTGCTGAGGCCTTCGTTCTTCTAGGAGGTGTCGGTTAGAGTCCCCTGGCCGTCAGTATAACCGTTTGAGGTTTTCCTGATCATGTAACGCAAACGCGGGTTAGTTCCAACAAAAAAGTCCTCCACTAAGGCAAATTTTTCCCAATACTTGATCCAGGAATTCCCATGTCTTCAGGGTTGGGTTCCAAATTAGAAGGTAACCGAGTTGACGGTAGCCTGTAAATTCAAAATTGGGTCGGCTATTCAACGACTGTTATAAAATAAAATATACTCATCAGAATATTCAGCTCAAAAATTAATTAATTTTCAAATTAAGTAAATTCAGCAGCGTGAGTCTTAGATTGCCATGCTTAAAGTAGAAAAATTCTGTGAAAACTCCTATTACTAGAGCCACGACCGAAGTGTAGTAATTTTTTGAAACTTGGCGTAAGTGGTTTGTCTTGTATAATAAATCTTTGAATAGTAGTAATATGTTTAAACTTTCAGAACCCCATTCGGAAACGCAAAAAAAGTACAAAAACGTGGTACTTCACATTCCGACCCCACAACAACCCAAGAGAAAACAAAGCATCACTATCTAAATCAGTGATGTATAGTTTCAAATTAGCTATTTATGCTGAATCCATCGTCACTATAAATAGAAGTCGATTGGACTTCACTCAAAACTATAAGAGATTTAGTTAACTTAAGTAAAAAAAATTCAATTTTTTGATTAATACCAATTTAAGCGTCAATAACTCTTATCTAGACAAGTGTGATTTTACTTCCTATAATTTTTACGCAAAATCGAATTAATTTAAAAGGAACTATAAGGAAGAATAACTAAAAGGGAGAATAACTTGCTAAGTCAGAATGAATATTAAAGATTCGTTGTTTAAAAAGTTCATTTTTTATATTTTCACCTACACATTTATCTGATACTGATGTCTAAACGAGAGGGTAATTGATTGATTGAAAGTAGAGCTTAATGGCACAAAACATGCTGGCAAAGAGGACATGCTGCGCCAAACCAACGGCTTTGAAAACAAGTCTAACATACTACAACTTTATCTACTAATATACTGGAAATCTACGAAACAGCACAAAGAGGGGGCATTGTTTGCAATGTAATGTTAAATTCCTTAAGTTTTGGAAGCAGAAAGTCTGATGGTGCTAAGTATTGGCTCTATGGTGAATGACCAGTATTTCGCCTTCATGACAATAGGTTCGTAACTCTTAACTAGGCATAAATCTAGGAATGTATTTTTTATGCTTCCTTGCTCAGTTTTCTGTAACTTTTAGGCTATTAGTCATAATGCCATAAGTTTTTTGGTGTCATTCAATTCGCCATGAAAATTTACAAAGAAAACAATACTTCGCTTACTTAAATAGTAAAGTTCCCCTCTTACAACCTTTTCTGCTATTTAGTAAATTCAAGATGGCGGTTAATGTTCAACTCAGAGAAAGGTTCATATTCCTGTATTGAGCCCAAACTAAAATTTTAAAACAACTTCCAAGTTTCTCCTAATTATTACAGTTTTGACCTTTTTTATGGCAAAAAAACAAGTCTATAATTTTAATCTCTAAAATTTCGCCAATTTGTTGATATTTTTTAAACTTGCGTTTAAAACATCAATGAATAACTTAAGTTTTAAAGTTTTTTAGTAGTTAAAGTTTTTTTTTTTAATCGAGCAATGCATTTTTGGAGCAAATATTCCGCTTTTCTATTTACGAACTTAATATTTTTATAGAGCACAATAATGTTTTTGAACTGAAAGAATAAAGTTAATGCAGGCAGAAAACAATACTTACCAACAGCATGTAAAGACACAGAAAACAGCAAACGTAAGATAAACTTTAATAAAGCTTTCAATTTTCGATAAACGCAGGTTTATTCTTTATTACTCTGCTTATCCATGTTTAGTTACGAATGCTCTTTATAACATTCCATGCTGCGTTTTTTCTTCCGTTTTTTATTATATCAGGTTACAACGCCTTTAAATTTTGCGAGATCTTCCTGTTTTGCTATCCTATTTAATGATGATTGTTTTTATAAAAAAATTATAGCTTTTTAATCCAGACAACCCATAATAATTTGAGGCAAAATCAAATGTACTTTTTATCTAATACGCCAAAATAAAAATTACGAATTCTGATTTTTGTTTTGAAACAAAAACTCTTAAGGGGAAAAACAACTGCCACATGTCTAAAGATAAATATTATTTTCGGCAACAGTTATAGAATCAAATTCTGTTACTAAAAATAATTTTTTGGCTATGTATATAAAAAAATTATAGCCAAATTACTCACAAAAAATAAGCACCTTTTAATCACTTTTCAAGTACTCAAAAAATATTTTTGAGTACTTAAAAAAATAACATAATTAGGCAGTTTCGGAAAGTTTTTGATAATTGACGTTTTTATCTTGTTTTAGCCGTCATGTAAAAAAAAAATCTTTTGGCATTATTTTTGACAATTGACAAAAATTATGAATCATGTAAAATGAATGGCGTTTTCATACGCTACAGACTGACAATACGCCAAAATAGATTGGGGTTGAATTAATTGTGAAAACGTTGAATAGAACAATGTGAACTGTGTCTTTTTGCATAATTCATAGCGAAAATCAACATGGTAAAGGAAAAATCTCATTTTGAAAAATGGAAAAAGTAAGCACTTTTTAATAACACCCAATGAAAAATGCACCTTTAATGGCTTTTGAAAAACGAAAATGAGCATCTTTACAAAACGCTACGCAACCTGAATAAATTACTTTTAAACCCTTTGACTCAGAATATTTAGTAATAATATTTTTCATACTTTTTTTATTATTTTGAATTAATTTAGATCAAAATAAGTGAAAAATATTATACTTAGTATTTTAATAATTTTTGGTTATGATATACAACATAAAACAACGGTGTCTTTTCCTGCGTTAAGGTTAAAATCTTCCAAACATGACTCACTTCCAAACAATCTTCAACTTTTAAACTTATTTGCATTTAAGAGAAGCAGCTATTTATTATTGAAATTTCTTTCATTTATAAACTAAATTATTGATAATTTTTTTAAATATGAATGAAAAAAAAATTTTTTTTTTTTAACTACGTTTTTGGATTTTATATTTTAATATAAATATAAATATTTTTCCAAACAGATTTTTCGAGTAACATTGGACTGTTTCTTAGAAATTAAGAATAACAAATGTATTTTTTCTTATAGACGTTCGAAAAAATGTTTTATGTAAGGAACACTGGTGCTCCATCTCCGTCAAGGAATTAAAAATAAATTATGGATTTTGTTTCAGTTTAAATATGAAAACTGAATATCCAGACAAAATCAAAAGTTTTGGCAACAAGGAACACAATAAAAAACCTAGTAGTGATTGTGACACAACAATGGAAGTAAGTATTGTAATCAGAAATTGGTTTAATTGTCAGGACCTTTATTTACATTCAAACGAAGATTCCGGAATATCGTTAAGTATTTATCTGGAAACAAAGATAGACACAAAAGTCAAAACAACGAGAAAAAAAATTCTTTGTCTCAGAGTATTAAAACTCTCTGAATGGCAACATTTAAAATAAACAATCGATGAGAGTTCATAATAAAGTAAATTAAAATAAGCCTTTATAAAACAAATAGTATCCCATGTAATATTGCAAAATTTAACATTTACACATCTTTTACTTCACACAGTTAGACTTTGATCAAATGTAGTTAACTTAATAATAATGATATACATTTTTTAAGTTTTCTTAAAGTAAGTTCTCAAATCGAAAGAAAATTAAATCAAAAACAGACCTACTTAGTAATAGCTCCAGCACAATAACGTACTAAAAGAGCAGCTAGTCTTGTGTCGTTATCTGTTAATTCTATCCATGCTTCTGTATTGACAATAGAATTAAAATTCTTAGAAATAAAGTCCATTATTTGTTCTTTGAAAACGTCATCACTGTGGCGATATGCCAGACTGAGCATTGGACAGGCGTTGCTCACATCAAGTAGGCATAAGAGATCTTTCATACAAGCTTCCCTAAGATACAAAATCTCATACTTGTCAGCTGCGTAGTAAAGCTCACATGCGTCTTCGTATTGAAGGCGATCTTTTTCACCAGAGTACAAGTAGTTGATGAGTTTTTTCATTACAGAAGCTCTAATATCCGTCACTTCAATCTCATTATGCGCGGCTTCCAATGTGGAATGTTCGAACATGCTGCAAAACACTTGTGATCTTGCACATAATATTGTTTTATGCGCTTTGATGGTGGTATCTTCGACTCGAATCGTAACATCAGTATTCATGGCTTGAATAAGGATTCTTTTTAAATCGATCGAAAGTTGTTTTAAAGATTCAACTTCAGAAATTTCGTCTGTATTTACAGCTTGGGAGGTCTGTGTTTGCTTGGAGTTACAGATTGCAACTTCAGTAGTGGAATTTTTTGTTGGCTTTCGAATTTGGTTTGGAATGGATTGTTTATTAGTTAGTTTTGCTCGAACAGAAGTATTATGGGGTTGATGTAAAGTTATTTTGTGATCGTTTCGCAATACAGATGGGCTGTTTTTGGCTGGCAGCTTAATAGGCCTGTGTGGTATCCAATCCATTCCTGGACCACATTTAACTCTAATAGAACAAGCAAAGTTTATGAAATCATCTTTACATAGTAACGGGAATAGAATGCGTGGAAGCAAATTCACTTTCTTGAGGATGCGAAAGCTCTCAATGGAATCAAATCTTTTTCGAGGTAAATCCTCCTGGTTAAGGATTACATCCATCGTAAAGTCAATGCCTATATTGACCTCGTCTTTATTGCATAGATTTAGTTGATATAAAATCGGGCGAAGCGTCGAGTAACGGTCCCAGTTTTCCTCAACTTTAAATTCCAAGTACCAATGTAAGTTTTTCGTCCTTTTTGTAAGATAAAAGTCTGGAGACGTAATGAGGGAACCAGGCGTTAATGTAGAGAAACGTTCGATTTTCCAATGAAATGAAAAGCCGTTATCTCGCGAGGTGCTGAAATGAGACGTGAATGAACCATGATTTATTTCCATCTCGAATAAACTTAATACTTTAATTGAAGAAGTTTACGTTTTCTGTTTTTACGTTTTCTATGCATTCGTTTTTCAAAGAATAATCAGAATGTTTTCTCTCGACTCTGAAAACGTCGTTTCTGATAATCAGCTATCTGATAACGACTTTTTAAGATAGCTTGTTTTCTATACATATTGTTTCTCTGGCGATGCAATTTGCAACCGGTTAAGTAAACACGTACTTTGAATTGAAAATCAGAAACAAAAGATATGTTTATCGTTTCGCTTTAAATGAGAGCTGTCAGAAGGAGTCTTTTAATCTTAATTTAGTGGAAATGCGAGATAATCCATAACCGTAGGCGTAGAGTCCCTAAATAGTCGGGGTTGTTTTCGTGGTTTTCCTCAACATGAAAAGCAAATGCGAGTTAGTTCCATCTTAAAAGTCCACCTCGAAGGCAAAGTTCCCCCAAAACTTTATCTAGGAGTGCCCTTGTCTACTAGATTGGGTTTAATATCGCAAGGTTTACAAGCATTGGTTGTAGTAAACTTAAAATTGGGTCAACTATTCAAAGACTGCTATAATAAATAAAATCTATATATTATTTAAATAATAAGGATCGAAAATTTTCATCTAATTGAGAATCAAGACTAAAAAACTTCTTTTTTTTTTGGTAACGAGAATTATCTGAAATTTTATTTGTTTCTTAAATCTTGCTCTACCAATTTTTCCGGCTTTTTCCCACCCTTTAAAATCGTTTTGAATTGTTAGTCATACTGGACTTTATTTATTACCTTTCATTTTTTTCTTTTTTAAATGCAGAACAATTTTCACTATATTTTAAATTAGTAGCATGTCTTATCAAAAAATACATTAAAAGCCTTTAAGAAGATAATTTTTGAAGAAACTAAAATTTTATATTATAAATAGCTGCTATTTGCCGACCCCCCTGTGTAGGGGTTAGGGAACTGCCCTTACATCAGAAAGGTTCTGGGTTCGAATACCGGGCAAGGCATGAATGTTCTTCCCTTCTTTGTAGTATCTGTCCTCACTGTGGGAGCAACGTTGGCCCAATTAATATATCTGCCCTTCAAGTGCCTGTATGACCTAGGTCATTATCCTGGTGGGCATTGGAAAAAAATAGCTGCTATTTTACGTGGTTCATGTTTCAAACCATCTCTACTAAGTATAAAAACAAGAAATTCTGTCTGTAACTTCCCAAATTCACATTTTGGTAGTTTTAAAGTCAAATTGGCTCTTCTTAAGCACTCAAATACTTCTGCAAGATTCTGTATCATTTCGGTCTATGTTTTAGTTGGAATCAAGTTATCATCTAAGTTACAGAGTACTTTTTTATTGAACAATGGACCCCAAAACAAGATTCATTAGTCTTTGGAACTCTGCTGGAGCCTTCGCCAATCCAAAAATCATTCGCTCGAATTTACCTGTATCGTCTGGAGTTATGAAAGCAGTTTTCAATTTTGCTTCTTCTGTTATTAGTAACTGCAGATAACCGTTTGCTAAATTCTAATTCGTGCAAAATTGGCTCCCTCCAAGACATTCTAAAATGTCATCAATTTTGGGCATATATTGAAGTAATTTTACTTTCGTTACTTGTACCGCCGGTACAAGTGAAAAGTACGTACTTTTATTTGTACTTCATCACTCTTTAAATTTAGTACTTTTACTTGTACTTTCGTTACTTTTTTTGGGAAAAAGTACAAGTATTTGTAACGGAAATGTCGAATGAAATCGTTACTTTTTTCTGAAACTCGGTAAACTTTCTAAAAAAAAAATTTAATTAAAAAAAATACTTATGTTTCTTTAATGTCGAATTAATGTCTCAAATGTCGAAACGGAAAGCATATCAATTTTGAATCGATATCCAATCGTAAAAAAATTATATGTGAAATATAATACTGCAGTACCTTCTCGTGCTCCCGTGGAGCACTTATTCAGCGTGGCTAAGCAAGTTCTGAGAAATTCTCGCAGCAGACTCAGTGACACCACTTTCGAAATGCGATTATTTTTCAAAATGAATAAAAATATTAATTAGCAAGTTATTTTCATTCATTTTCTAGTTTTATGCATTTATTTAATAGATTTTAAATAAAAAATTTTGGATTTTTTCATTACGTTTTTCAATTTTCTTTTTGAACTCATTAATAATACATTTTTGTCTTAATAAATTTTTTACTAACTACATTTTTACCTAGTACATTTTTTACTAAAATTTTGTGCAGATCCATATAAAGTTGGATATTAAAATTATATTTGATTTTAAAATTATAATATTCAATTATATTATAATATTCTTCCGAATTTAAAAATAAANATTAATGGTAAATTAAATAAATAAAAATAATAAACTAAAAATTAAAATCAATAGATACAATTTCTTTTTCGTGCAAATCCATATAAAGTTGGATATTAAAATTATATTTGATTTTAAAATTATATTATACCATTATATTATAATATAATATTCTTCCGAATTTAAAAATAAATTAATGTCTATAACTTTCAAAATTAAAAATAATTAAAATAACAACAATTTTGCAAAAACATTAAAGAACATAAGAATATTATTCAATAAAATTTTAGGTTACTTTGAATTTTCGATTTCCTAGAAATGTACTTTTAAATCTTTACTTTTTTTGTTTAGTAATTGTACTTTTTACTCGTTACTTTTTAAAATAAGAACTTATTACTTTTTACTCGTTACTTTTTTTAAAAATACTTTTACTTTTACTCGTTACTTTTTTTTAAAAATACTTGGTACTTTTACTCGTTACTTTTTAAAAGTAACGTTGCCATATATGATTTTGGGGAATGGAAATTTATCCTTAACAGTCTGAGACTTCAATTTCCTAAAATCTATAATCAATCGGTGCTCTCCTGTCTTTTCCTCGACTAATAATACAGGACTGGAATATGGAGATCTTGTGTCTGAAACTATTCCATACTTTTTCTATTCGGAGACAATTTCTTTTTTTTTTCTTAGGAATTAGTTTTGTATTGTTTTTGAAAAATCGGCTTACTGCCCTCTATTTCTTTAATGTGAATTTTGCATAAATTTGTGCAGCCTAACTCACTCATGTTCAAAGCAAAACAGTCAGAATATCTATTTAAATTTAAAAGTTTAAATATTTTAATACTTTCTAAGGATTCGTCAAAATTAATATCTTTCATTAAAATAGGAGACTACTCACTGTTAATTGCATTTACTTCCAACTTTTTCATTTTCAATTTCCTCACTTACCTCTATTGCCCTACCTAAGCACTGATCTTTCCTAATTTTTAAGTTACATTCTTCCTTTTTACTACCGGTACAATCGTTTCACGGTTAATTACCTCAAGAATAGAATCAAAAATCTGGCCTATACTTTTAACTAAAATTACACAGTTAACAATCGAATTTTCACTTTCTTCGACTTTTGCCCTAATTAAATTGATTGATTTACATTAGACTTCTGCTTCGTTTATTGTTTTCAATTTAACAACATTTTTACTCATATCTACTTCAATTTCAGAAATAAAACGTCATTATTTGTGAATCCAAATTTTAAATTACCTCCAATACGCGCAAAAGCAATGTAGGGTAAGTCTAGCCAAGTTCTTCCTAAAATTAAATCACACGGTTGCGAATCATCTTTAACAATTATTAATAAATTTCCCGACTACATCATACACCCGAATATTTATTACAGCTTTACCGATACTATAGGTAAAGCTGTAGTAGAAAGCTATAGGTCCTATAGATTTCGTATTTGTAGCTGGACTACTTTGATTACATAAACCAAATAAATCACTGTTATCTGACTGCAATTCGAGATTCATTTTTAAAGCGATACTTTCTCTCAAAAGACAACAACTGCTACTTCCTGTGTCAATTAAAGCCGTCATCATATTACCATAAATATAAGCATCTTTCAAATAATTCGTAGGCGTCATTCATGCGCTTGAATCCGAGTTGTTTTGACTAACAGACAAATTATTTCCTTCTAGCTTTTGATAGGTTTCAGATTAAAACGTTCGCAGATAAATGACCTTGCTTTTTACATTTCTTTCAATAAGCAATGGTTTTAGACGCCTGGGAATCACGGGATATTTCCCTTTTTCATTTCGTATATCCGAGCTTAAATTTTTTTTCTTTTGTTTATACTTTTGTTTTCACTATACGGAATTGATTTCTTTTCTACCTGAAATTTACGGCCTAATTTGAAAGAATAATACTTCCATGTACTTTCTGGATTTTTAACATGATTTAAAAATCTAAACTTATCAGCACTTAACTTATATCTCTTGATTCTTAAGCTATGTTGCTTTCACATACTTATAATAATTAGCATTATCTTCGTTTCTTCGTTTTCACGCTCGATTAGTTGCGTAATTTCATAAGGAAGTAGTCACAATAATTGGGATACCCAATACTCTTCACTTAAATCAATACGTCGGGCCTGGGGTTCAAATAAAACTAAATAAAAATTTATATCTCCATCTTTGATCTTATATTCGTGCATTAACTTTCTAAAATCTGTGTGTACGTTTTTACTTTCATCGTTACTACTTAAATCCGAAATGTTTACGTTTTGAGCTCTAGTTTCGACATTCTAGTTCATGCTCACGGTCAGCCAACGTTTTGGCTGCTATTTCAATTTTGCAACAGAAACACATTTTATGATCATCATAAGCACAGAGAAAAATCTGGCATGTTGAAAGAACCATTATATATTTAACAAAGTATTTTTTTTTAAATTATGAATAAATGTTATTTGCAATTTTAAATGATTTTTTGGTGAATTTTTAACAATTGTTTTTTTTTTACATTACATTTTTCTTTGCTGCTCAAAATCAACAAGACTTAAAAACATTAAATTATGAACGTGTGTAGAAAATATGCGAGGAGTTAGAAAGAATACAAGAAAATAAAATTTGATTATTATTTTCATTTTTTTTATAACCACCATTGAACAATCAACTCGATTTTGAGCTTATGACTACCAATGTTAAACTCCGTAGCCTTGTAATTTTGAACCCAATCCAGAAGACAAGGGAACTCCTGGATCAGTACCCAGAGGCATTGATTTGTTATGAGAATTTGGTGACCCTGACAGATTTAACATGCATCAGTCACCATTTTATAAATAGGTATT